ACACACACACACACACAAAATGATTGCTAAGCTATTTCAGCCTTACTGCTTTTGTACAAAGTACATAAACAATTGGCATGTCACTGAGACATAGCCATTTAGCAACTGTACATATGAATGTGTTATCATGTAGAAAGGAAAACCATGTCAGTGAACCAAACAAACCAGGATGAAATAGAAATGGCTTGTGTGAGTTTGATTTATGATGCTGGTCATTTGACTCCATTTCAGCTGGAAGTATTTTGAGAGCATTCAGTGTCTGTGGCTGAAACTGAAATTGGATATTTTTCGAGGGACTCCAAGATGAGAAATTGTCCTCATTTGGTATTTTGCAGAGTCCTTGGGGAAGATTGAAAAAGTTATGCAGCTCACCCCTTTCTCAGCCCCCAAACTTGCTGCTTTTTTAAGTCATTTGGTAGTGCACTCCTCTGGCAAAGTCTGCTCACAAGGAAAAATGGACAGAGGGAGCTCCGGCTGCTCACCTTCAGAATCTTAGAAAACCAGTTCTTGCTCATACACTCTGGGTAAAAGGTTGCTTCAACTCAGCTGTGGGAGCCCACTGCTCCCAGGTGGAGGTCTGTGTCATGTTCTCAGGAGTTTTTAACGAGGAGTCCAAACAGTACTTGGGTTCCTCTCACTGAGCAAATGCTCCCTATGAGGCATCTTTAATGATGTACATAAAAAAATAAAATCTTCACAAATCTAAAGCTGCATTTCAAGATCAGCAGATTCCTCTGCCGTTATGTAGCTCATAGCCTTGGCCCAGGCCACTCCATGACATTCCGAGAGCTACTTCCATCAGCTAGGGAAAGGGCAAGAACACTAAGCGTACCCCGGAACGTCCATAAACAATGTTCTCCCAAGCTCACCTGAGAGTCCTGTTCATTACCACTAAGCATGTTCTCGGAAACTGCTCCTTCAGCTACTGTGGCAGATCTGGCCGAGAGCAGGGCAATGTTGGAAATATTTAACACCTGGGATGGGGCAATGGCCTATCAGAAGGGACCCTGGTTATAAAAACCAGTTCCAGCATGCAGGTGTAAGTCTCGGCCCGCACAGGTGGCTTGGCTGGTTGTTCTAGCCCTAGCTACGGCCATGTCTGCCAACTCCCTGTCACAGCCTGCATGCCTGCCTTTGCTGCTCCTGCGGCTGGATACTCGTGTGGCTATAGTGGGTCCAGGATCTGTGGCAAAGGAACAACCTCTCTGCATTCTCTCTGGGTGACAGTGCGTTCTTAGAAAGGGACAGGGCGCTACTATTGCTGTGTGTGCCTTTGTGCTGGAACAAATCCCAGCAGCCTCTTCCAAAGAGGTCCCCTTGGAACCACTTTCTCAAGCCTCACATTGAACTAAAGTCCCAAGTTAGAATTCTGACGTGATTTCCAAGTGAGGTTAAAAATGTCCAGTGTCAAAGAGGTGCTGGCTGAACCCAAAGGAAGGTGTTTACCTTTCGAACTGGTCTTATCATACAGAAGGCCTCTAGTTCCTTACAAATCCAGGTCTCCAAATCCTGCCACTTCCTTATGGACATGTACAACTTGCTGTCAGCCATCCATTTGTTAAATACGTGGTTTTAAGATTCAGCAATTTTGTCATTTAAAAAAATATTACTACATTTACTTAAGTTTTTGTGTGTGTATGTGGGTGGGTGTGAGTGCGCACACACTCATGGACACTCACTATTTTTGCACAAGATAACAGACCTATTGTTCCAATCCATCTTCTCATAATTCAAATCTCTGTCATCAGGCCCAACTGGTTAGGCTGACTCTCTCTTTCCTGAAAATGCATTGATTCCCCCTCAAGTTTCCTCCATGAAGACTTCCAGGTGGGCAGCCCAAGAAAGCCAGACCAGACCAGCTGCATTCAGATATTCCAGATTAGGCTAAGCCTGAGGGAACACCCGGGACCTGCACGTATTAGCTCAGCACCTCTAAAGTCTTTAAGGACAACTCCTTAGGGTGTACTGATTAGTGGGAGGATTCTGAAGTCCCGGCCTTTGATGTCTTCAGAGGGATGTACAACAGACCTTCCAGAGAATCTGTGCGTCCAGTTCTGAGTTGGCTGGTTCCAGAGTGTTTGCTTCAGTGCTAAGAACCTGAACTCAGACAACAAGCGCTGCTCCTGATTTCTGACCATTTTAGGCAGAAGAGAGATGAAAATCCAGTGATGATGAGACAAAGGAGATTTCGAGTACTCTCTCTGGCCAGGAATTTGGATGTCAAAATAAGGAAAGCACGGGAGCTAATGATGAAGGAGCAGACAGCAAAGCTCCTAGGCAGGGAATCTCCAAAGTCAGACCTGTACCAGCCTCTGGCAACTTGCCCCTTCCACCCTGGGAGAGGTGCCCTGTCTGGGTAGTCTCCCTTCACCTACGTCTGTCAGCTCGAGGCACCAGGACTTGAAACTGAAGGTCAATTAGGATGTGTCTATGAACACTGTAAATTCTACTGACAATGTGTTCACTTTGAGTCACAGATTCTAGGAAAAACAATGAAGCTCATTAGCCTCTATTGATAGAGACAAAGCAGCCTTTTTTTGTTTGTTATGTACATAATGTTCTGCCTGCATGACAGAAGAGGGCGCCAGATCTCATTATAGGTGGTTGTGAGCCACTGTGCAGTTGCTGGGAATTGAGCTAGGGACCTCCGAAGAACAGCCTGTGCTCTTAACCTCTGAGCCACCTCTCCAGCCCCACAAAGCACCCTTTTTAATTAAATAGTTGACCAAGGAAGATCAGTCAAGATGCTTTGTGTGTGTGCAGGAGCACTGGGGGTGGGGGTGAGGCGCTGAGAGTTTGTGGTCTTTTTGTTGTCAACTGTTTGTTTGTTTTAGTTTCTCACATGGTTTAATCATCTTAACTTGAGTTACAGACCTTATTCCCCTCTTCGCTTGCTTTATTTTCCACCTAGAAATATAGAAAAACTTTAAAATCATAAATATGCTGATAATCAGCATATCTGAAATGCTCTGAATTTCCTGGGTAAAAGAAATTATATAAGCTTGAAATACAAAGACACCAAAAAGAGTACTTGGAAAATGTTTCAATAAACATCGACCTCTTGATTAAAATGAATGAAAATGGAATCCAACATTAGAGAAGGAAACATTAGATGATTTCCTAAAAACATACAGCAAGGCTCTATAATACATTTATACATTTACTGTATAAGGTTGCTCTGAGGTGTCAAGAGATAGTTAAAACAATTTAGGGGAATTTAAAAGGGTTTTTATTCATCTAAATGCAAACAATACCTAACAAGACCCAAAGCAATATTCATCTGAGATGCTAGGGGAAACTTAGGGTTTTTTTTTTTCTGCTATATAATAAAGATTCATCTGGAATTAAATTTGATAGATTGTGGTATTCACTATTTCTTTACAGTGATAAAAGCAGAGCACTTTGCAACGAATTCTGCATATATGTTCAAGACGTATATCTACACACTACCTCCCATGGAGGTAATTGTAATGTGTACAATGCATGATATGAAGGTACACTGTGCTTTCAAAGTCACCTTAAAGTTGTGTGTGCGTAAACATGTGTGAGAGTGTGCGCGCATGCGCATATGTGCGTATGCATACGTACATGTGCATCTGTGTGTATGTGTGTGCTCATGTGTGTATGTGTGCTTGTCTATGCATGTGTGTGTGCATGCATGTGTGCGTTGCAAGACAGGGCTTCACTTCCTCATCCAGGCTGGCCTACATCCTCCTGCCTCCTACTGACATTACAAGTGGGTGGTAGAAATTAGTCCATTTCTAATGCTCGTTGCAAGAGCCGGGCTGGGCAGTTACCTTCCTCTCCATTATGACAGGGTGACACAGCGACTCCATTTAATTGACCCTTTGCTTGTCAGCAGCAGTTCAGAGCTCTGCTGTCTCCTGCAGCTCATTTCTCAGGAATTTGTAGATAAGACCTCTCTTTAACCGCCCATCTCATTCCCCTTGCCTGCTCTTTCCAGTCAGCCAGCAAGGCCCTTTGCAAAGAGAGAGGCCACATTCAGAGATGGCCCCAAGTATTGACTAGACATGGGAAAGAAAGAGCAGGCTAAGCCCAGAGCAAGGCAGGAAAAGAAGGCAGCTTCTCTGTTCCTAGGATGGGACCACTTGACTTCCATATGATGTTTGGTGGATTCCGTGCCCAAGGGAGGCAAACCCACTGCGTAAACAGCCCATTCCCAGAGGAAAGGCAATGGGTGACTTCTGTGTCCACGAGCCTTGGTGACTGTTTGTGACATTCTACTAAGCAGCTTGGCAATGGAATGTATCATGGAAGCATGTGGAGCCGATGAAAGGATTAACTGTAAGAAGGAGAGGTTCATTTGTATTTGGTATCTTATTACACAATTAGATGAATAAAAAGAGGCACCAACAAACAAACAAACAAACAAACCTGGGATGTATGTTACCTGGGATTGTAAATGCGGACGCAAAGACAAACATCTAGGCTAGTGCAGAAAATGCAATGAAAACTACTGACGTTCTCTTTGGGGAGGAAAAAGTATTCAATGAATCTCATTTTGAACGGCAAGTCCCCAGGAAAGCAGGGACAAGAAAAGGAGGCGCTTGGAGCACAGAATAACACAAGTTAAAAAAGAAAGTTGTGTTGTTCCTATAACCAATAACTGTATGATGTCTACTTAAAAGGTTGGTTTTTCAAAAGCGATGCTCACAACGTCCACTTGTTCCACACGGTCCAATTGCGACAATAAATGAAAAAAAAAAAGTGGGTGCTCACAAATAAGGCTCTGATCCGCCTTTCCAAGAAAGAAGAACGTATGCATTGCGTTACGTAAAGCAAACTGATGAAGCCCATCGCAGCAGTAGCGGGAATGTAACTCACGTTTTAACACATAACGTCCCAAGGAGACTTCAGTCCTCACGTGTACAGCTCTGGGTCACTCCACGTCGCACCAAACCCTGTGTTCCTTTCTCCACGCACCCAGCGCGCTCCCGGGTTGCGCGCGCACCCGCACTCCCACACACGCACAGTCCCGAGGGGCTCACGGGGACGGCTCTCCCCTCTAGCGGTCACCCGAGCCAGCCCCACGGTCTCACTTTACCTCCCGCGCAAGCAGGATGCCGGCCGCCGCTGGCTCCACAGCTGCCATCGGTCTCCGCCTCTCTCCCCTTCTGGATCAGCAGATTGGGGCCCTCTGTGTTTTCAACAGGTACCATGGTCACGTAGAAGTTACAGCTTCTCCCTCGCCACTAAACCACCCCGACCTACCGCTCTGACAGCAGTGGTCCCGGTCCCCATGGGCAGCATGCTAAAGAAGAGTGGGAGGGGTTCGAGGGGGGGGGGAGAACCTTCGGGCAAAGCCAGTGTGATTTGTAACCAACTTTGTTTCTATTTCCGAAGGCTTTGCCCTTTTCGGTGACACAGGCTGTTGCTATTCCCAGCAGCCTATCAGGAGCAGGGGGAGGGCCGTGGCTCCTGGATTGTTTTGCCTTCAGACGCGAGTTGGAAGCAAGAGGTTAAAAGACTTGGGACGCAGAGGCAGTGTTTGGCCACCGGCTAGGGCTTGCTCTTGTGTTGCCGCAATTTGAAAAGAAGCTTAGAGAAAGAAGCATGAAGATTTAAATGCAAGTCTGCAAGCCGAGAGTGGGGAAACAAATACCCACAGATGGTATCAGTTAATCTCGCAGCGGAAGACTTTATGTTAAGAAATAAAAGAAGGAAAAGTGTTAATTTTCCTTTCCTTTCCTTTTTTTTTTTTCCTTTTAAAGCAAGCCTGTTACCCTAAAAGTCATGACACTCACCAGTTTAAACAAAGCATAAAATGTGTTTGTTTCAACGGGGTTTGGGTCTAGGTAAATGCCTTGCATAGCTTTCGCTCCAGGCCTGCGGGACGATTGAAGGCCTGCTTCCAACTCCAAACGCAACGATTCTTTACTAGACTCTTTCCAGCCGAGTTTATAGCAAAGTTGTCCATTTAAAAAAAGCACAACTGACCTGAAAAGAGGGGCAGACGGTGGATCTTACATCAGGTTGCTCTTGGCTTGGCTGGCAGGAGGATCCTCGCTCGGTATTCAGAGACAGCTTGAGCTGTTGTAACACGAAACAAATCAGGGCACCAGTGGGAGGGGTGTTTCACTGGTGTGTGAGCTGAACGTGTACTTCTATAAACAGTCAAACAGACGGGAGATTTTACCTTCGGTTCTGTCCTAGGAAACCACAGCCGTAGAAAACTCGTGGCGTCGTCTCAGAAATCATCCGGAGTGAAAACCAAAATGTTGGAAGTACTAGTAAAACAGAAATTACGCTAGGCACGTGAACCTGAGTGATTCTTTTCCCAAACAGAGCTTGCTAAGAGAAAATGGAAGCCAAGTAACTTGCCTAAATTCTTTAGAGCTGGGTGTGGCTCCCTGGTAAAGGACTTGCCTGCCAGACCTTAGTTCGGAGCCTCGGAACAAAACCCAACATTCTGGGTGCTCTCACTTGCTTCAAGGCTATCGGGAATGGAGCTGGGCTTTTGAAGCCTCACACTGTAATCCTCCTGCATCGTAACTTCCCAGCCTTGTCCAACGCCCTTTGTACCTTCTTGACCTCCAGAGATGCCCTGAAACACAAATTTTTCACCTTCGCTGTTCCCCTGTACCGGGAAGCAAGTCTGTGCTTGCCCAGGCCAAGACCTGTTCTTGCTGATGTCCCCCCATACTTTGGGTCACAAGTTTGTCACTAGTCTCTTCTGTATTATTCCCTGGGAAATACAGGAGCAAATGAAAACAAATCTGTAATAGTGCAACTAGTACTGATTATACACCTGTTGTATACATTCATGCTGTGTGACTGGAAAGAACAAACCAAGCTCTGCATACACAGCTCAGGCCTCGCCAAGAGAGTAGAAGTTCAAAGTCCACTCAGACCGATGTATCAACACCGAAGAACTCATAATGCAAAATGGCTGGAGAAACTGCTTTTACCTGCTCCCAAGTGTGTCAGAAGGACAGCAGTATTTATCTGTCAGGCTCACATGTCATCTCGTCATAGTCTCTTGCCCAGAACCTGTAATGAACTTAGCGTGGGGGTGGAACATAGGTTCTTAGCTTTGGTGACTTGTAGAAATACTTTGTTTTATGGCATAACCCCCACCACCCCACCCCCACCACCCACCAGCCACCAGGCCTATGTTAGCAGGAAGTCTTGGATTGCTTGCTGTGGCAGCTGAGTAGGCACAAGACAAACCCCAGTTCTAGAATGCTTTATGAAGTGGCTCTGTAACCAATGTTCTGCTCTTTGTAACGGTGCTGTTCAGAGACGCCGTAGGCATAAACCAGAAGTCAAAAATAACAAGGAAACAACGTGACGGACCACATTGCTGCCTGGCATCGGACTCTGTTTCTTGTCTTGCTGTTGTTGGCCTGACAAAGGCCACTGGCTATCTCAATCTCTGGCCTGCACTCACTTTCTTCTCTTTGATCAAAGTTGACTCCACCACGCGGCATCAGGGTGTGCTGTGTGTTTTCATCCCTCAAAGGTGGTTTCTTCGACCTTGTCCTGTCTTTTCCCCCTTAAAGCAATTGATGGCAATCAGGATTCTGGTTACCCAAGGTTAGTCATAGAAGCTGGAGCCCTTCTTCAAAGTAGGCAATAAAGCCTTTCCAATTCTCGCTTTAAGTGGGATCTCCCTCCATCCTCGGAATGCCGCATAGAAAGGTCAGGAATCTGAACACACAGGTCTTGCTGAGTTTCTATTTTAGTTGTTACCTTTAGACTACACTCTGTGGTCCATTTGCATTTGTACATGGCTCTCCTATCCATTCTTCACTGAACCCAAGAAGGGGAACAGTTTTCCTTGGGTCCTGAGAGCTTCATTTATGGAGCTCCCTATGCCACATAAAAGTTTAACCAGATGAAGATGCCATGGTTGCATGGTTAGCCAGTCTTTTGTGACGGTTGATCCGGCCATGACTATCATGGTGTTGAGAAAAATCTACCACATACTTCTGCCTCTCCAGCTACCAGACTAATCCCTGTAAATGGAACAAGCTTATCATGGCTAGAATGTGATCTTCAAGAGGACACATTCTTGTGTCCTCCATAGTTCTAGTTCCTGGGAGGATGCCTGTCATGCTATAGATGCTCAACAGATATCTGTCACATGAATGAGCGATCACAGTGAGAACTGTTAGTGGGTCAAATAACTAAAGCTCTTTCCGAAACGTCGAAACCCATCTTATGATTTCTTTTTAGGGAAAATACCACCACAGAATGCCCCAACACAGTCTCAGCCTTTAATGCTGATGTTCAAAGCTGTTCTTGCCCTCAGAGAATATATAATCAGTCACCAGAATGCAGGCACTCCCTTACTCATATCACTAATTGTTCAGAGGCAGCACTGCCAAGTCTTCAGACACTGCGGCTTGCAAAATGAAGTAAAGTGAAGTATTATTATTGTGAAGTATTATTATTGTCTCCATTGTGCAGAAATAAAACTCAAAGCAGTATCAAACATGCCCAAGATCAAAAAATATTTTCCAGTGTCAGATTGTGAAAATTTCGAGTCACACAAAAAAATCCTACATTTTATAAGAGATTTTACTGTTGACCCACTTACCTGTTTATCTAACAATCCCCCATCTATTGAACTAATTAATTTTTATTAAAGTCAAAGTAAGAGTAAATGTCTTCTATGCAGTAAAATTAACTAGAGGTCTACACTCTTTAGGTTTCCTCTTTCACCAAAGTTTTACGTACAATGTTGAGCACAAAGCCTTAGAATGCCATTGTCCACATTCAGGACGCACACACAGTCTGATCCCCGATTAGATCTCAGAACATGGCCAGTGTCCTAGAAAGTTCCCTGCATCTCTTCTGAGTGAATTCCCACCATGACCTCTGATTGTTTGTTTGCCCTTGTTATTTGGCAAGTAAAACACCTGCACTCGTTCAGAATACAAGGGAAGAATGTGGACTCTGGGGTAGAGCATCTCTTACTGTGCTTCATTTGAGATTCACCCAGGGTTGCCCAAACACTATCAGTTCATTCTCCATAACATGAGTGAATACACCAACTTATTCGTTTCCCCTCGTGGACACCTGGACTGTCCTCAGTTCTTTTCTATAATAAATAAAGCTGTTATGAGAACAAGCATTTTTGCAGAACGTAACCTCTCAAGGCACAGCAGTGCAAGTCCATTTGACTCCAAACCCACAGGCTTCCTTTATAGCCTGCTGTTTCTCTGCAGTGCATCCTTGTGTTTATGTGGACATCTCTGAAAGGTTCAACCTAAAGGGGCTTATTACAGTATAAACACACATGGAGAAATCCAATCCCTAGACAAACACAATGTCCAGATACATTCAGTTCTGGCTTAATCATATGTCAATTAATACCCACCCTGGCATAAGGGTTTGGAAGGATATTTATTTTACCACTTCCTTAGGCTATCTGTATAATTTTGCTTTCTAATTGATACTTGCTTTTTGTTTTTGTTTTTGAAATAGGGTCTTGCTGCATAGCTTGTTGAACTGAAAAACACTATATTCACAAAAGGAAAAGGTGAATTATGAGGAAAATAAGAATATTGTTACTTCTAGAGTTTAGGATGGGAATTTTCTCTGAAGAGATGTAATGGAACTTTCCAGAATGATTGTGCTTTTTGGTGATTCTTCTGCCTATGCCTTCTAATTGCTTGGATTATAGGCATCTTCCACCACATCTGGATGCTAAGTATGTTCAGTGTTTCTTCCATATATTTAGAGCATTATGACTCATAACATTGTTTAAAGTTTCTTAAATTACAAAGTGGGCATAGTTAAATTCAGTATATGACTACTGTATTTAATATTATATATTAGTCATTCATAAGACAATGAAGCAATACAAGAAAATGTTGATACTGTTATTTGAAGTAAAAAAAAATCAGTAGAAAATTACAAACTCAATATTTTCTGTTGTAAGAGGAGCAGGCCGCATCCTGCCACCCAGCTAGCTTAACCCCTGAAATAACCACACAGAAACTGTATTCATTTAAACACTGCCTGGCCCATTATATCTAGCCTCTTCTTGACCAACTTTCACATCCTGATCTAACCCATTTCTATTAAATCTATGTATCACCATGAGGTTGTGGCTTCCCAGGAAAGATTCTAACCAGCATCTCTCTCAGGCAGGAGAACCATGGTGTCTTCCACACTGCCTTCTTCCTCCCAGAATTCAGTTCTGTCTTCCCCGCCTATCTAAGTTCTGCCCTATCAAAAGGCCAAGGCAGTTTCTTTATTCAACCAATGAAAGCAACACAAATACAGAAGGACCTCCTACACCATTTCCCCTTTTCTGTTTAAACAAAAAAGAAAGGTTTTCACTTTAATATAGTAAAATTACATATAAAAAAACAGTTATCAAGCAAGAATTACAGTTACAATATTTATATCTATTTTATCTTTTATCATAACTAAGGAAAACTCTTCAACTCCATCAAAGACTCCAGAAGGATATAATATTAGCTAAGTTAGCAGGAAGTGTATTGTAAGCAATTTCCAAAACTCTAGAAATGACAGAGACATCTCGCTGCCTGAACAGTCACCCAAAGTTCTTTTG